CAGAGTCTTCATCATCTCTTTCATCGTGACTTCTTCTTCAGAACTCTCCTCACTCTCTACTATCACGATCTTCTTTTTCTTCTTCTTCTCCTTCTCTTCCTTCTTTGTTTCTCTCCCCTTTCCAGAGTTACCATCCTCTACAACCAGAGCAACCGGACCACCATAGTTCTTCTTCATTTGAAGTACTTGAGGCTCTTGACTTTTAAGAGAACCAAATAAGTCAGCCAAAGTCCATACTTCCAAATCTAAGGTGGCCTTCATTGACATGGTTAGATGCATCCATTCGATTCCAAGGCTCTTCAAGAACAGAGAGTTGTTGTCCTCTGCAGTTCTCATCACTCCATACCTCTTGCAATTGCTAATTAAGGTGTTTAATTTGGAGTATGTGTCTGATAGGGATTCACCCTCCTTAGCCTTGAAGCTATGATATTCATCAATGCAAATGGCTCGATTGTTCTTGAGAGTTTTCTTATCTCCTTCAATCTATTTCTCCAATTCTGCCCAAATATCCATGGACAGTTGGCAGTGATCAATACATTAGAAGATTTCATGAGGTATTGCCATGATTAACAACCTTTTGCATTTGCTTCCCAAATCAACCAATATCTTGTCTTCATCGCTCCAGTTAGCAATAGGTCTTGGCTCATAATGCTCAGAAACTTCAGGGGTTGTACCAGTAGCTGGAACTCTTGAAATTAAATTCATTGGCACATAAGGAGAATTGTAGAGAAATTCACAAATTCTGGGGTGAATTCCCTCCAAAAAGTTGATCATGCGCACCTTCCATTGCGGATATTCCTCACGGATAAGCGTGGGAGGCTTTGATTGAGATCCAGTACTCATGAACGAGGTATTAGCCAAGTTCGCCATTGAAATTTGAAGAATAAAAATAAGAACAAGATGAAACTGATTTAATAGAGTGAAACAGGGTAATATGAAGAAAATTTGTGTTCTAGAAAATGCAGATTAATACCAAAAACAGAATTAATCGAATAAGAATTTAATTCCTGCTCTGATACCAATTGTTGGACCTTAAATTCAGCTTTGATATTGATCTAATACTCTGAATGAACACTAAGACGATTAAAGTGCAGCGGAAACAATAATAAGAACAGAACAGAGTAAATAAATCAAGAACACACAGTCAAGATGAGGATGAAGATGAACACAAGAGAATTGCTTCAAAGATTTTCAATTCATTCAAATGAAAAATTGACGATTACAATACGGAAGCACACTGATTACAAAGGCTTTAGCCGCTATTTATACTAGTTCCTAACGACCTTACTGACAAGATCTTGACGCGTGAAATCATCTAAGCCGTCCAAATAAAATCGATTAAGTCCTAGTCACGTGAGAAGCACATGCAGCTAATAACCATTGAAAAACAGTTGGAGCATAATCTTCACATAAGACGAAATCCGCAGACCCTCTGTGAGCCATCTCAGAGGCTCTGCTGTAATTGACTTGCATGTTCTTATTGACAGAGGACCATTTTCCAGAACCTCTGTGAGAGACATCAGAGGTTCTGTCATACTTTACTTGCTCGAATATAAGGCTTCTGTCGTTAGTCCTCTGTTGTCTTCTGTGGAAGATATCCTTCTGTCAAGACTTGCATAATACTTTTTCTATACTTTTACAAGAGATGAATAATGGAGCTAACAGTCTCATTCAAAACATATTCCTCATTTTGTTTAATGACGAAGTTGACACATTATTTTTGTAAAATTTGGTCTTGTATGATCTTGTAATTGTTAATCATTTTGAATAAAAATTCACTTAGGATTAGGAATGGCCCAAAAAGTTTATTTAAAATACCATATCTTCAATCCTTGTAACTTATTTTGGATATATTGCCTTAGAAAGGATTGTTGGTAAGATTTATTGTTCAATGGGATAGGATGGTCACTTTTAATCTTCTTCCTTGCATATATAATTACAATTATAAAGGGGTTTAATATTATACTAATAATTTGATGGTTATTTGAATCTAATTTTGCTACAAATGTTGTATGCTTATGACATCTTGAAATAATTTGATGTTCTGAAGTTGAATAAATCTTAGTAAACCTTTTAACTCTCATCGCATTGCGCGGGTACACAACTAGTATATATATATATATATATATATATAATTTATCAAAAGTCCTAAAAATAATTTTTAATACACAACGTACTATGCATTTATGTACAAAGTTTTAAAAATAACTCATAATGCATTAAGTACTGCTACTTTATGCATTCGGTCTTAAAATCTCTTACTCTACAATTAAAATAACATCTATACTTACTATATTATAAAACATTTGACAAAAACTCTTAAAAACCACTTTTTATGCGTAAAGTAATGTTTATTAATGCATATTACTTAAAATTCAAGATCACAAGTAGATTGTGCGTAAGTACAACTTATTAAAGCTCCATATCTGAATTCGTGTAACTAACTGCGGATAAACATGATCAAATACAAGATAAACATCTTATTTTTAAATATAAAAAAATTAAAATATTATTAGAATAATCATTAAGTTCTAACAGAACACTTAATTATTATCCTTATAAAATGTTATATTATTAAAACAAAAATAAATTATTTCATTATTAAACTTAAATTAAATTATAATAAAAAAATAAATTAAAGAAATTACATAAAAAAATATAACTTTTAAATAGTTGATTTGATATTAACATTAATATATTTTTTTCAATTTTTTATGATATCTTCAAATTTATATTTTATTCAAAAATAAAATTATTATTGTTTTCTTAAAAACACATAATCTATACTATATTATAAAACATTTGACAAAAACTCTTAAAAACCACTTTTTATTCGTAAAATGTTGTTTATTAATGCATATTAATTAAAAATTCAAGATTGCAAGTAGATTGTGCGTAAGTACAACTTATTAAAGTTTCATATCTGAATTCGTGTAACTAACTGCAGACAAACATAATCAAATACAGAATAAAAATCACATTTTAAATCTAAAAAATCTAAAATATAATTAGGATAATCATTAAGTTCTAACATAATACTTAATTATTATCTTTATAAAATGTTATATTATTAAAACAAAAATAAATTATTTCATTATTAAACTTAAATTAAATTATAATTAAAAAATAAATTAAGGAAATTACATAAAAAAATATAACTTTTAAATAGTTGATTTGATATTAACATTAATATATTTTTTTCAATTTTTTATGATATCTTCAAATTTATATTTTATTGAAAAATAAAATATTTATTTCTTTTTAAAAAACACATAAAATCGTATTATAACATCGACAGAGACAAATAATAAAATAAAACATTAAAATCGAAATGTGTCTCGCTGCATTGCGCGAATACTCTTTTAGTATAATACAAGTTACCAAATGCACATTATTATATTTTATTTTCATGTTCCCAAGATTATTTGAAACTATTTCACTAATATCTTCACCCTCTCATAACTCTATGTCTTCTCTTCATCCCCCAAGATGAAATTCAAATTGATATTCACCATGAGTTATTAAAAGTTCTCTCATTCAATTGTTCTAGAACTTTCGGTCTCTCTTCCGACGTATTTCGTAGACACACAACTAGTCTAATTTAATTGATTGAGCAAAAAGATCGATAGATCTTCAAAAAATAATATTTTAACATAGTTATCGAAAATATTTTAATAATTTATTATAAAAAATAAATTAAATATTGAAATAACTGATACAATTAATTATAATATTTCCACAGTATTCTCGTAATATCAAACCCACAGAAATCTCTCACCCACGTTAAACACTTTCAGTTCTAAATATACAAAACCACTGCACCCCTTGTTTTCCTTGTTACTCTTTACCCTACATTTGTCATCTCTCTTTCTGTAATTCCTCCCAAACTTCATTGTCCAACTCACCTCCACAGTTGCTATAAATCTGTCTCCATGCAATTCCTGTGCATTAGCTCACTCCAAAGTCTAACCATGCAGTCCTCGCTAGTACTCTCCCCCCTTCCAGCATTCATTCCACCGCTCAAAACCACCGCTTTCCGCCGCATACGGCCACCCTCAGCCGTCGCTGCACCACCTCTCACCACCAACATCCGCCAGGCTGTTACCCATTCCATGCCTCCAGAAAAAGTCGACATCTTTAAGTCGCTTGAATCTTGGGCTGCTGAATCCGTCCTCCCACTCCTCAAACCCGTCGACCAATGCTGGCAGCCGACTGAGTTCCTTCCGACGTCTTCACAGCCGTTTGATCAATTCACTGATGAAGTGCGAGCCCTACGCGACCGGTCGTCCGATCTGCTGGACGACTACTTTGTGGTTCTCGTTGGTGATATGATCACCGAGGATGCTTTACCAACGTATCAGACCATGATTAACACCCTTGATGGGGTGCGGGATGAGACCGGTGCAAGCCCCAACCCATGGGCCATGTGGACCCGGGCTTGGACCGCCGAAGAAAACCGCCACGGTGACTTGCTTCGTACCTATCTTTATCTTTCGGGTCGGGTGGATATGAAAATGATCGAAAGGACTGTCCAGTACTTGATCGGATCCGGCATGGTAAGTTGATCGAAATGCTAGCTTGTAAATCCATTTCGATTTGAACCCAATTTTCAAAAAATTTGTTAGAAAAATTCTTACTAGTCCTTCAATGGCAGGATCCAGGAACAGAAAATAACCCGTATTTAGGGTTCGTTTACACTTCGTTTCAAGAACGCGCCACTTTCGTGTCACACGGCAACACAGCACGGCTAGCCAAGGACGGCGGAGATCCAGTGCTGGCACGGATATGCGGCACCATAGCTTCCGACGAAAAACGCCATGAAAATGCTTACGTGAAAATAGTGGAGAAACTACTGGAAGTGGATCCGACGGGTGCGATGATGGCGATTGCAGACATGATGAGGAAGAAGATCACGATGCCAGCTCACCTGATGTACGACGGGCAGGATCCATCTTTGTTCGAGCATTTCTCGGCGGTGGCACAGAGGCTCGGGGTTTACACAGTGGATGATTACGCTGATATATTGGAGTATTTAATCGGACGGTGGAAACTGGAGAAGATGGAAGGATTGACGGGTGAGGGAAGGCGTGCACAGGAGTTTGTGTGTGGGTTAGCGCCGAGAATCAGAAAGTTGCAGGAACGAGCAGATGAGCGGGCAAAGAAGATGGGACCGCGTGGTGTGAAGTTTAGTTGGATTTTCAATAAGGAGGTTAGGGTGTAAATTGGTCAAATTTTGGTCTTTTCTTTTCCTTTTCGTAAGCTTTAGAGAGAAATTGAAAAAAATCCTTTTATTAGTTCTAATAATAATAATAATATTATTAGTTGGATACCGTGAAATGCGGCAGGAAATCAAACTTTTTTGTGTAAATCAAGGTTATAAACTTCAAATTTTATAATGGTTGATTGAACAAAGAGGTATAGAAAAAATATATGGAAAGAGAATTGCAAAATTAACGGTTTTTTTACTTGTTTTCAGATCTTTGAATAATGGTTTTAACTTAACGCAACTAATGATTAATAAAAAGAAAACCGAAATTTTTGTTTAAACAAAATAATTATATAATCATATGTAATAATGTAAATTAATACATATTGAATGTGATTCACTTAAAGCATCCATATTATCAAACATCTTGTGATTATAATGAATACATATCAAACATAGTTATGCACAAACACCTATGTTATGAATTATCTGTTATTGAGCTTTATTGATTGTCATAATTTATACACCTAATAAATAAGTAACTTGGGAGTCACGTGTACTGTTTCTGTGCGAAGGTTATTGTCATTTCCTGCTTAAACATGTATCTAGACACAATTTACACTTATGGTTCAAATAGATCTATTTAATCGACATCCGTCCCTCTAAACATTTATTTTTTCGATATCGTGGTTTAATTGATTTTCTTGTTACGCGGGCGTCGTGCTTCTAGAGTTTTTGTTTAAGATTGGCTGGTACAGACTTCTCCCACATCTCTAGCGATGTGGTTCCAAAGTTAGAAAAAATGGCACTGATATGTTCTCTCCCATACTTATAAGACAAGTCTAATAATGTGATTCTGGATTTCACTCGCATAGTGGTCAGACTTATAAGTCTTATTTCCTAGAGTTGGAAAAAAAAACCATATGGTTTTACCCAGAGTTGGAATACAACTCTGGTGATGTGATTCCAGACTTCGTAGTTTGTTTAATATAGATTATTTTTAATTATAAGTCAGCTCTGGCGATGTGATTCAAAACTTCAAAGTCTGTTTTAATATGGACTTATTTTCCAGCGTTAGAAGAAAACTTTGATATATTTTTCCCACACTTATAAGACAACGTTGGTCATGTCAACTCTAATTAGTACATACTTCTTCCACCCCTGGTTATGTGATTCCAGAGTTCAAATTCAAGTCTGATTGCTACAACCTGACCCGCAACTCTGGTGATGTGCTTCCTGAGTTTTGAATTCTGACTTCATGGTACAGAGTGCAGACATTTAAGTCTGATTAGTACAGACTTAGTCCAATTCTGGTAATGTAATTTCAGATTTTTAATTAAAGTCTGATTGAAACATGCTTGATCCACATATCTATACATCTCTGATCGTTACGTGGTTGTTTTGCAAACTTGTAACACATCTGATCATGTGGTTCCAGTGTTCTTGATTTAAGTCTGGTTATACTAGAGTTGTAATACAACTCTTGTGATGTGATTCCAGACATCGAAGTCCGACTAATACAAACTATTTTCAACTATAAGTCAGCTCGGGCGATGTGATTTACAACTTCTAAGTCTGTTTTAATATGGACTTATTTCCTAGAGTTAGAAGAAAACTCTGATATGTTTTCCCCACACTTATAAGACAACGCTGACCATGTCAACTCTGATTAGTACAGACTTCTTCCACCCCTGGTTATGTGATTCTAGAGTTCAAATTCAAGTCTGATTACTACAAACCTAACCCACAACTCTGGTGATATGCTTCCAGATTTTTGAATTCTGACTGCATGGTACAAAGTGCAGACATTGAAGTCTGATTAGTACAGACTTTGTCTGTTGGGTTCAATGTTGCGTTTTAATGTTGTATTCAAGCTTGTTTCTCCCATTTGTAATAGTTTTAGTCTTTAATGGTTTCATAGTATAAATAGGTAGCTTGCTTTGTAATTAGTGAGTAATTGTTATTAGTGAGAGATTATTGTAATCATTTCAAGAGATTAATACAAAATCATTTGAGTGAAAAATTCTCTCTACTTTTCTTATTGTTCTTATCAAGATTTATCTGATTAGGAGATTATTGGGATAATCAATTGGTATCAAAGCGAAACTGCAGCGATTTGATTAAAGATTTGCACAGATTTCAAGAAATTAGCATGAATTTCTGGATTTTTTAGCATCTTATCGGACTATTCTTGGATATTCATAAACTGTTCTTGAGCTTTTATCGATATTTTCATCAAATTCATCTCAAATCTCTTATATTTTGTTGTTTGATTGTTAAAATCTTCATCATTGTGTGCGATTTGATATACTGATTCATTGTTATTCATACTTTTTCTTGATTTGATCATTATTTTGAAAGATTTGAAGGATTTTTTAGTATTTTCGAAAAACTTTCTATTCGATCAAAACTCATAAATTTTGAGTTTTTGATCCATTTTTGGGTGAATATTTGGTGAACAATGTGTTTTTCTTCAAAATTCTTTGAAGGTATTAGGTTGAAGTTGTGACCGTATTTGATCATATCCGAATATAGCCTTGTCCGGAGTCTGTGTGTATTGTAAATCAAGTTTTGTTGTTCAAATGTGAATCCGATTGATTCTTTGTACGTATTGTTTGCTATTCGTTCAACACTTTGACCGGATTAGTTGTTATTCGGGTGAAATCTTATTTGTACTTCTTGTAATCCCGTGATTTCATCATCCAGATTTGATTGTAATTTTGCTTAAGTGCTTTGAATGGCATATTATTCGTATTGTGTGTTGACCGGATTACATGTTGACCGATTTGATAATTGTGTTGACCGTATTTGCTTGTTGACCCGATTGTGTGTTGACTGTATTGGTTGTTGACTTTTGATATTGATTGTTGACCGTATTACTTGTTTGACTGTATTTGCTCTTTATTGAAAATTTGATAAGTTTTTCAAGTGTCCAGAGAAACTTTGTCCGTATTCTCTATCTCCTTGTTTGTATCTTTGTGGTCTGGAGTGTCAATCCGGAAAGACTTTTTCCGGATTCCCAATCCGGATAAGCTTGAAAGTGTGATTTTTTTGTTGCTAAGTGTTGAATTTTGGGATGCTTAAGAAATTTGTGTGTGAATTTTGAAATATTGCTGGATATTAATTTTTTAATCAAAATCTTGAACTGTAGAGAGCTTATTTCTAAAATCAGATAAAAATGAGTTCCAAAGAAGCAATGACTATTGGAACCGACACAAAGCCACCAGTTCTGTTTAGAGGTGACTACAACCAGTGGAGAGACAGATTTCTCAATTTCATTGAAAGACAAAAGGAAGGTGACTTGATAATGGAATCTTTGATAGGACTAGTTGTGTTCTGGAGGGAAACTCCTGCTATTCCTGAACACCCCTCCAGAACACAACAGACCGGCTGAACTTATTGTAAATGAGAAGTCAAGATACACCCTGAGTGAAAAGGAAAGAGCACATGCAGATATATTATGTAAATCTTACATTATGCAAGCGCTAACCAATGACATATATACCAGTATTGACAGTTATAAATCATCTGGTAACAACATGTGGAAACAAATAGAGAAGATGATGATGGGTTCTAAAGTGGGAACTCAACTGAAGGTTACTAACTGTATTACTTCTTATGAGGAATTCAAGGCTAGAGAAGGAGAAACTCTTGATGATGTATATGACCGTTTGACTAGACTTCTCAATGAGCTGACAAAGAATGACATTACAAAGACAAGGATTGAAATTAATGTCATGTTTCTGAGTAATTTGCAACCAGAGTGGAAATCGTTTGCCAATAATATCATATATAACAAATCTTTATCTGATATTGATATTCATGAAGTTTATGACACTCTGAAGCAAAACAAAGAGGATGTGCCGGAAATTAGAGACTTGAAGAAGAAAAAGGAAAAGAAAGTTAGTGATCCTTTGGCTTGTGTCTGAGAAGAAAGGAAAGAATAAGTCTGGTAAGCAGGTGAAGGAAGTGATTTAGACAAGTGAATCTTCTACTGAAAGCAGCAACGATTCTGATTCTGATATGAAGGAGATTAAGCAGACAATGGTGATGCTGGCCAAGGCTTTTCAGAAGAAATTTTACAAGAAACCGCACTCCAATAATCAAAGATTCTCTTATGGGTCGAAATATGACTTCAAAGACAAATTTGGTGAGAAAAAAAGTACGAAGAGAAAAGATATGAAATGAAGTTTGAAAAGAAACCTGAAGAGAAGAAAATGTTTGTGAAGGGAGTTACAGACGAGAACACAAAGTGTTATAACTGTGGCAAGTTGGGACACTTTGCTGTAAATTGTAGAAAACCAGTGTCGAAAAACACTATTTACTACAAGAATAAATTTCTCCTTTCCAAGAAAAAGGATACGGGAAAAGCACTGATGGCTGAGGATGATCACTGGCTTAATCTAACTGATGAAGATGATGTGTCAGAAGCTGTTGCACATATCTGTCTGATGGCAAGAACTGAAACCGATTCATCTGATTATGAAGAGGAGAATGCTGAATCGAGTGATGAGGTATTAAAAATTCATGCATGAAACAGATGCATAGAATGATGCTCAAACTTCAAGATTTTCAGCAAAAGTTAAAATCTGAAAAAGATCGTGTTGCTATTCTAGAAAAAGATCTTAAAACGCAACAAGAAAAATACATTAAACTAATCGATGAAAATGTTGAAAATTTTGATTGGGTTCAATCTTTGCTGTCTGAAAGAACTTTTTTTCCGGAAAAATCAGACATCTAAAAAGCTGAATTATCTGATTCGCATGAGAAATATAAATCGTTAGAATTGTTAAAAACAATACTCTTACCTTGCAAAAGAAATTTTAAATGAAAAACTGAAGGCCCAAGAAGAGAAGTTGTATAAGAGAGGGTAAACTGACCAAACTATTTTTCTGAACAAGCCTACCGAAACCAGATTTTTTAATCCTCGGGAAGGGTTAGGCTATGAGAATCCGAATTGCTTAAAAAAGACTTTATATTTCACTCCAACTTTGTACAAATTTGAATATCTTGACTTTGGTCCTGAATAAATTAAATTTAGAAAATCTTATGTTGAA